GGTAGTCTGTTTCCTCTTCTTGGGCGTTTCCTGTTTGAGATGACCCAGCCGTGTGGCTAACACAGAAGCCTGGAGAGGTAGTCGGAGAGATATAACTGAGAAACACCCAGCTAGGACAGCCAGTGAGGCAGGGCTCCAGGACGCGATACCAACCTCTCCCACTCCTGCCAGGAAAATTCTGGGGTGAGACAGCGATGACAGGAGCCAAGGGGCGGGCCGGTCAGCTGCCTACCCTGCAGCCTCTGCCTTGTGGTTTCACCCTGGGCTGCCCTGCAGCTGTAACGTGTCTGCTGACACGCAAGCCCTGATCGCTCTGCCCCTCCCCCCGCCCAGACCTTCACTTCTCTAGGAATCTTCAGAAGTGAATGTAGGAGAGATGGGACGAGAGGGAAAGGAAATGTGCAGTTCGGGGAAACAGGGGCAGAAGAAAAGAGGGTTTTCATGGAGGCGTGAGTGGGAAGTAGAAATTTAACTCACCTTCCTGAAAACCAAGATAAAGGGCAGAAGAACAGCAGCATGCTTAGGCTGCTCTAGTGATGAGATGTGAGGGGCTAGGCCACCCAGCATTAGCCTCAAAACTGTAAGACTGAAGAATAAAATGGCAAAAGGGACTCTGGGCTCCTGCAAACCCATCTGTTATAACACCAAGGTTCCCCATCTGCAATAGGTTCGAAATTCTCCTCCAGCACTTAAAGAACCCCAGTCATCTGCGCTCTATCAGTCACACGATCCATATGCTGTCACTCAGCGAGGTCAGTTTTGCAATCCCCATTTCACCAGAGGGTATGGGGCCACAGCAGGTTTAAGCAATTTGCTCACAGAATTTGGAAATCATACAACAAGGTCTGTATCAGTTGCCAGAACCCCCATGGATCCCACCATGCTAAGCTGCATTTGAGCTGAGATCAGATCAAATGGTGTCAAAATAGTGGAGGCTTTTTAAGACTGTTTTTTTAAGCTCAGTAAAAGAGCACACGAGGTGATGAGCACTAAATAGAGAGCTCTGTACTTCCCAACGCAGAGCTGTAAAAGTTCTGAATTGCACAGGTCTTGCGATCTGAGATCCCAGTGCAGTCCTGGTACCCTCTAGTGGAAGTTTCCTGCATTAGCACACATCCACAGCTACTGGAGAGCATCTCAAAAAAAAAAAAAAAAAAAAAAAAAAAAGCAGCAGTGTTGGGGAAAGCATGTTGGGATGATGGAGGTCTATAGGTGTGGAGGAGGGGGTACAGGTTAGAGAAAATGATGTGTGCCAATTCACATGAGACCCACAAGAGTCTCGTACATGCTGGTACATACTCCAGGGATCCAGTCTTTGTGTGGCATTATAAATAGAAAGGAGATCCACATCCCTTGGGAATCTGGACTTTTAGGATTCATGAGAAAGACTTTTTTTCTCCTTTTGCTGAGGACAAGTTTGTGATTAGAGGTGCAAAGTGACTCGTGTAAGGTCACAGGACAAATGGAAGCCAGCAGCAGTGGGGCCATGTTTCCTTTGTCCTTAGAGAGCTTTCTCACCATGTCACACCTCACCCAGAACGTCAGCATAGAAAGACACGAAACTTGGAGATACAAGGGGGACAGTTTTTACCTTCATCTGTCCATGAACTTTCCACTTTTCATTCAGTGCCTATAACTGCCAAACCCTAGTTTAGACCTTTGCAGCCTGTGGACCCCGGGAAGGGAGGCAGCTCCCAGGCTCGTGGAATCCCTGTGCTTACAGCTGCCAGGGAATATCTGGAGTTTCCTCCTCACATTCCCAAGCACTAAGGCACTAAGATTTATTGCTCTTTCCCTCCTCTTCCCCCTCCCCCTAGAAGTAATCCCTGAGAATGGAAGTGGGTTAGAAACAGATTACTCTGATCCAAAGGCTTTGCCCTCTCCTCCCTAGTGTGGGGTGGGGCGGAGGTAGGGAGTCACAAATAGCCTGAAATTCCCTTTTAGGATTATTGTTGATTTAGCCAGCTGGGAGAAAGTGGAGCAAGGAGAAGCGAGGGATTAATTCTAGACCTCACTCTCTCCAGCAGCAGTTTGCATGGGTTTCTTTCCTGGCTGAGCCAGGATGAATAACATCTCTCCCCGAACATGCCTTCAGAAGGAGGAATCTAGGGCAAGCACAAAGCCCGAGGTTCCGTCTCCAGCAGCAGAGGGAAGTGGAAGAATAGATGAAAAAGAGAGGCAGCCTTGAGAAGAGCTCTGCAGCGCGGACATAAGGAATCACTCTGGGCCATGGAAACTTCCTGTGCTTCTGTGGTTTAGCTTCAGCAGAGATGAGAGCTGCATGTTAGAGTTCCCTGAGGAGCCAGCTCATCTCTCGGTCTGGAGATTTCTTGTTTAGGGGCACTGCACTGGGGGGGTCTCCAGGACCGGGTGTCCCTCTGCTGTGTCCAGCATAAGGGCCAGCGACACTCCTTTGTATCCTACAAGGCTCCCCATACAGATTCTTTCCCAGGATATCAGCAGGCTGCCAGCTGCAGCCCAAACTAACCAGAGCGGAACTTGTTTGTTAATGAATTAATAATTCTGTAATTTAAGTATTGGATTACCACCTTCGTATAGATGAGAATCAGTGGTGACCAAGAAGCATTATCGAATTCCTAAGCACTTGTCAGGGTCACAGGGAGTTACCCTGTGTGACAAAGTAGCACTGCTAATTTTGTTAGCTAAAAATTAGTTGAGAGTACTTGCTAGGAGTCACCATTCTTGTTTATTCTCTGGCACCTGGCCTGGAGAAGTCACTTCTCTCTTCTCTGTGCTCCCACCTTATGTCAGAGAAGCACAATGCAAACGCTCGCCAACCCTGTTATTGTAGTAATCCATGTATCATCGTGTTTAGAATTACATTCTTCCAGTTCTCCAGAAAAATGTTCCTGGTTTTTTGATTGTTTTTGTTTTGTTCGTTTTTCAAGACAGGGTTTCTCTGTGTATCTTTGCGCCTTTCCTGTAACTCACTCTGTAGACCAGGCTGGCCTTGAACTCACAGAGATCCACCTGCCTCTACCTCCTGAGTGCTGAGATTAAAGGCCTGCGCCACCACGCCCGGCTGAAAAATGTTCTCATTCAAATCAGTTGTGCTCTTCTAGATGTAGGTCACTCAGAGAAATTTTAGAACTTCCAATCTTTAAAAAACAAAGCCGGAGCCGAAAATTTGTGGCAAATGCCTTTGATCCCAGCACTCGGGAGGCAGAGGCAGGTGGATCTATGAGTTGGAGGTCAGCCTGATCCACCATTCAGTTCTACATATCAGCCACAGGTTCCCCTGAGTTACAGACAGTTGTGAGCTGCCATGTGGGTGCTGGGAATTGAACCCAGGTCCTCTGGAAGAGCAGTCTGTGCTCTTAACCACTGAGCTCTCTCTCCAGCCCATATAGGTTCCTTTTTAAAAACTACTTTTTAATTGTGTGTGTGTGTGTGTGTGTGTGTGTGTGTGCGCGCGCGCGCGCGCGCGCACGCGCATATGCATATATGTGTGTGGGTGCCTGCAGAGAACAGGGGTGCTGTGTCCTCCTTGAGTTACAGGCAGTTGCAAGCCTCTCATATGGGTGCTGCGAATCAAATTCAGATCCTCCACAAGAGCAGTACATGCTCTTAACCCCTGAGCCATATCTTCAGGCCCTTTAAGTTTCAATCCTGATGTTATCTGCCACTGGGAGGGCAAAATATATATATATATATACCCTGCTGCTAACAAGGAGTCCTATTCTCTTTAGGCCTGTGGTAGTTTGATATAATTGGCCCCCATAGGTTCATAGGGAGCGGCATTATTAGGAGGCGTGGCTTTGTTGGAGTGGGTGTGGCTTTGTTGGAGTGGGTGTGGCCTTGTTGAGGAAGTGTCACTGTGGGGGTGGGCTTTGAGGGCTCATACATGCTCAAGCCACGCCCAGTGTCTCAGACCTCTTCCTGTTGCCTGCAAAAAAATGTAGAGCTCTCAGCTACCTCTCCAGCACCATGTGTGCCTACATGCTGTCATGTCCCACCATGATGATAATGGACTGACTGAACCTCTGAGCCAAAAGCCACTCAATTAAATGCTTTGCTTTATAAGAGTTGCCATGGTTACCGGTTGGTGGTGACACACACCTTTATCCCAGCACTTGAGAGGCAGAGCCAGGTGAATCTCTGTGAATTTGAGGCCAGCCTGATCTACAGAGCGAGATCCAGGACAGGCACCAAAACTACACAGAGAAACCCTGTCTCAGAAAAAAAAAAAAAAAAAAAAAAGAGTTGCTGTGGTCATGGTGTCTCTTGACAGCAATAATTAAGACAAGGCCCCATTTGAAAGTTTCACTGGGACAAAAGTGGATTGATTCCAGGAATACCTTGTGTGTTGAGAGAAAATGGGAAGAAATGTCTGCCTCATAGTATTTCCTTTTTTCTGTTGTTAAGGAGATTTATTTTATTTTTATGTAGATGAATGCTTGTCTGAATGTTTCTCTATGCACCACATGCATGTAGTGCCATCAGAGGCCAGAAGAAGGCATCAGATCCGCTGGAATTGGAGTTACAGGGGGCTATGAGTCACCATGTGAGTGCTGGGAACTGAGCCTGGGTCCTCTGGAAGAGCCGCCAGGGCTCTAACCCCTGAGCCACCTCTCCTGACTCTATTTCCTTTTTTCTGTTTTTAAGGAAATGACAAAGACTTGGTATACCAGCTTTTTAAAACCAAAACGTGCTGGTACCTATTTATTTATTTTGTTGTTTTATTTATTTATTGTGGGAGGAGGGTGTGAGGCAAGGTTTCTCTGTGTATCCCAGGCTGTCCTGGAACTTGCTCTGTAGACCAGGCTGGCCTTGAACTCAGAGATCCACCTGCCTTTGCCTCCTCCTGAGTGCTGGGATTAAAGGTTTGAGCCACCACTGTCCAGCCCAACAGTTACAGATTTAAACAATTATAGAACTAGTAAAGTTGACAACATTTGTGCACAGAACTGGAAGGGAAAGAAAAAGAAAGAGAGAGAGAAATATAAGAAATATTTCTGTAGAAAGCTCCTCCTGGCGATAAAAATATGGAACGCTTCACGAATTTGCATGTCATCCTAGCAGGGACCATGCTAGTCTTCTCCATATCATTCCAGTTTTAATGTATATGCTGCTGAAGAGAACATGACGCAAAATCTTTTCATCTTGCATTCTGAGAAATGCAAAGTATTAGTGTTGGCGGATTAAGAAACATCCTCTAGTGTTACTTCCTCAGCACACAGCTGGCAATTATCTTTGGACTTAATGAGGAAGAAGGATAATACAGATTTTCCAAAACAGCTAATCAAAAGCAACATGATCACCTTTAATGAACTAAACCATATTGACTACTCTTATTCATCCAGGCTGATATGTAATCAGTTTGCAGTATCTGAGAAATTGACCAGAGGTCAGGCAGAAATGACTTCGGATGTGTTACCTACTCCATGTGGCCAAAATAAAACGTGATCAAAGAGCAGAGTCTGAGAAAGATTATAACAATATTCTGGAGTAATCAATAGCCACTCATCCATATAGGTTTTCTTACTTCATCTGGAGCAACAAATTAAAAAAAAAATCATGTTTTATTTTATAATGAATAGAGTAGGTAAACAGGAGTCTGTAAAGAAGTATGAGATGTCTATGGCCAGGCACAATGGAGCACACCATTAATCTCAGCACTCAGGAGGCAGAAGCAGGGGCATCTCTGTGAGTTTGAGGTCAGCCAGGTATAGAGAGGACCAGCTAGAACTACACAGTGAGACCCTGTCTCAAAACCAAAACAAAACACTAATAATAATAGTAAGTAAAAGAGCCAGTCAGTGGTGTCGCACACCTTTAATCCCAGCACTTGAGAGGCAGAGACAGAGGAATATGAGTTTGAGGCCAGCCTGGTGTACAGAGTGAATTCTAGGACAAAGCTACACATAGAAACCCTGTGTCAAAAAAAAAAAAGAAAAAAAAAAAGAAAAAGAAAAAGAAAAGAAAGAAAGAAATAATGAAATAATAGACATCTCTCATTTAAATGCCTATTAATATACATATTATTAAGTTGACATACATATAGTACCTAGTTTCATGTCACTATTAGTGTATCTCATGGTATAAGTTCAGTGCTAAGGCTAGAAATTTGGGGAAATTCTTACCCTTGAAGAAGTTTCAAGTTCCAGACAGGGTACCACAGAGAAACAAACAAAACCAACAACAACAAAAAAGAAGTCTCAAAGGGTGATCATGGTAGTGTATGCCTGTAATCCCAGCACTTGGTACCAGAAGCAGGAAGATAAGGTGTGGTTCACAGTTATCCTCAGCTACATAATGAGTTCAAGAAAAGAAAATTCCATAGACTTAGAAGTTAAGATTTGAAACAATACATAAGATTTCCAAACTTGTATGGAATCTCTCAGTCCCTCTGATAACAGCTCTTAGCACTTGAAGCTATCAGCAAGTCTACTTCAAATTGGAAGCTCTTACATGCACAGACCTTAACTCCTAATCTATTGCAAAATAATGTAGATGAGTGCTCAATTAGTAGTAATCTACAGAATATGAAAACCAAAATTATGAATAGTATTTGCTCTTCAGAAGTGTTTATCGTCCTGGATGTTCAGGAGAACTGGAACTCCTATCACGATTCCTTTAGCCACTGAATGTGAAGCAGTTTTGGAGTTGTTTACACTCCATGGACCCGACTTTCAAGTCTGCCAGTTATTAGTTGTCTAAACTTAAATTACATATTTAGTATCTCTGGCCCAACCACATATGTAAAACAGGAATATTCTTTTGTTTTTTGGTGGTGAGGATTACGTTGATCTATGTAAAATGCCACATTTTTGGAAATGACAAAAAAAAAAAAAAGATTCTTTTCAATCCATGTGTCATTTGCTTTTCAGTAACCACAGTAGTCAGTTTCCTTAATAGAACAGGAAGAATTTTCACGTAGAAAACCAGACGGTTTTTAGGTTATACAGCATTTTGCAGTCAGATACACACCCAGAACTATCATTTTCGCTCTAAATACCACTAGTGTATTCCAAGTAATGAAAGAAAACACTAATCTCAAAGTCCTCTGATTTCAGAGGGAAACAGTTTTTCATTTTTTAACCGAATGTAAACAAGGTGTAACAATGTGCTAAGCAACCAGGAATGCAGCAACCCGGTGCCCCACAGAAAGCCTCGTACGCAGGCGCAGCGGCTTCTCCACCGGTCTCCGGCTGGCGCGTGACAACCGTGCGGTTTACCCTACTTCCAGAGCGATCTCACTGCGCACGCGCAACCGCATTGCCCGCCCCTCCTCGCCCCCCGCCCCCCTCCCCACCCTGCCCCCCGCCCCGCCCCGCCCCGCACGAGAGCGTGCGCGTGCGCGCGGCTCACCTTTCGGCCGAGGGCGCGCGTCCTTGGAAAATTCCACTCCCGATCTCGCTCCACCCTGTGCGCCTCCTCTCCAGCTCCGTGCTCGGCCGCTCAGCCAGCATCCCGGCGGCCTTTGCGTCAACAAAATGGCAGCTCCCATGCCTCGGGGCTTGTCCTGCTTATCCAGGGCCCTGGGATGGTGGTCTCGGCAGGTGGGTAGGGACGAGGTGGATGGAACTTTAGAGGCAGAAGGAGGAGGACAGAGTAGAAGGCTATAATCGTACAGTGGTCTTTGATGAGCTTGGGCGATTCGAGTCTGACTTGGTCTGGGGAAGAGTTCGATCCCTCCGCGTCTCTCTCGTGGCTCAGTGAAGACAACCTGGGCGGGGCCTGGAGGGCGATTTCCATTTACTGGCTTTAAGCTTCTCCACATTAGCTGTGGTCGTTTGGGTGAGAAGTTGTTTAAAGGAAGGAAGTAGTGGCTTGGAAGGTGGGCCCACTTCTTTTACATTCTTAAAAAAAAAGAAAAAACTGCCAAGGATAGGGGTACAAGGTAGGTTGTGTCTTAGTCTGGAGCGAAATCATGATGGGGATGGGAGGGGGGAAGGTCACCTGGCTTCTGAAAAGTTTGTTGGGCAGTTAGGAGCTAGAAGGACAGAAATAAGACAGCGAGACACTGCTTGGGTGAAAAAAGCAAATAGGGGGCTGGAGAGATGGTTGCTCTTTCAAAGGACCTGGGTTCAATTCCCAGCACCCACATGGTGGCTCATAGCCATTCATAGTGGGATCCGATTCCCTCATCTGATGTGGAGGCTTGCATGCAGATAGAACATTCATATACATAAAATAAATCTTGGGGGAAAAAAGAAGCAAAATAGAAGTGTGGAGAAGAAGAGAGAAGCGTGGAGGAAATGCCCCTAGGATCTGCTTAATGCTTTAATAATAACCGTCCACTCTTCAGTATTGGGTTGATACTAAGGTTCACTATCAAGCTGAAAGGTCTTTGATGGTAGGATTTTTGCTTTAATCATCTCCGTGTACAGCAGTACTACAGAATGTATTAAAGGAAAGCTTTTTGTTAAGTGTTGACGGATGTTAATAAAAGTTATTAATTGGCTGTGGTAAGAGCCATCTCCAGGTGTCCAAATAGTAATGTAGTTTCTCCATAGCAGTTGTTCCATAACTTCTTCTAAAGCATTCTTTGGATATACCCTTTCTGTAAGACTTTGCATACAGTTTGCTCAAGATAGGTTTTTCTTTCCAAATTACTTATATGCTAACCTTGCCTTTACCTCCCAGCCCATTCTGGTGACTCAGTTCCCAGCTGTAGTTCCAGTGAAAAACAAAAGCCGATTCAGACCCACTCCTCGTAAACTCAAGTACAAATCAGAGAAGGAGTTTTTGGAACATGCCAGGAAAGCAGGATTGGTTATTCCTCCAGAAAAGTTGGAACGTCCTATACATCTAGCCTGTACAGGTGAGGAACAGTATTTCTGGGCTTCTGACTCAATCCTCTACTGGCGCTTGGAATGCCTTAGACTGATTGATAGCATTAAAAAATTTCCCCCTTTTTTTCAAGACAGGGTTTCTCTGTGTAGCGTTGGCTGTCCTGAACCAGGCCTGTAGAACAGGCTGTCTTCAAACTCAGACACCACCACCCCTGACAGCATCATTAAATTAACCACTAAGTTCAACCTCAGTAACGATTAACTTTATATATACTATAATTCATAAAGTCAGTTTTGTTTTGTTTTTACAGTACTTGGGATGAAATTTAGGGCGCTATATGTGCTAAACAAGCGCTCTACCACCAAATTGTATCTCTAGTCTCCCTTTCTTTTTGCCTTTGAGACAGAATCTTTCTAAGTGTGTCAGGGTGGACTAGAATTTGTGATCCTTCTGCCTAAGGAGTAACTGAGACTTAACTGCAGTACTGGTCCTGTTTATGAGGTTGTCTTTTGATCTTGTTTTCACACAACTTCTAGAAAGAATGAAAGTTCTCCAGTTTGTAGAAGTAGAAACAGACTCTCGAAGGAGTTAAATTATTCTTTCTTTTCTGTTTTTTTTTTTGTGGGGGGGCCGTGTTTGAGATAGGGTTTCTCTGTGTAACTGGATCTTGCTCTGTAGACCAGGCTGGCCTCGAACTCACAGAGGTCCACCAGCCTCTGCCTCCTGAGTGCTGGGATTAAAGATGTGTACCACCGCCGCCTGGCCCCTTTCTCAATCTTTCAACAGTTTTTTAATTCTCTTCTCTCCTTACAGCTGGTATATTTGATCCCTATGTTCCGCCTGAAGGTGACGGTCGAATGTCATCCCTTTCAAAGGAAGGACTGACACAGAGGACAGAGCGATTAAAAAAGGGTGCGACGTCACTGCTGGCGTAGGTATCAGAGACAGCTAGGGTTCAGTATTCTAGGCTGAGAAGAACATACGCTTTTATCCTTACTGTGTTGTATGGTATATTACATTGATTTCCTTCTCTCTTTTTATTATTATTATTATTATTATTATTATTTTGTTTTTTTGAGACAGGGTTTCTCTGTGTAGCTTTGCTCCTTTCCTGGAACTCACTTTGTAGACCAGGCTGGCCTCGAACTCACAGAGATCCGCCTGCCTCTGCCTCCCGAGCGCTGGGATTAAAGGCGTGCACCACCACTGTCCGGTTTCTCTTTTTATTTTTATGTGTTTTTCCTTCATGTAAGTATACCAGAGAAACCCTGTCCTGAAAAAAAAAAAACAGAAAAGCTGGGTGCTGTACCCCTTTAATCTCAGCATTCTGCAGGCACAGGCAGGT